TCTATTCCACTGATCCTCAGGTCTATTTTTTTGTGCCAGTACCATGTTGATGTTATCAAAGTAGTTTTGTAGTATAATTTCAAGTCAGGAGTTATAATGCCTCCTGCCTTGCCTTTGTTGCCCAGGATTGCCTCTGCTATTCTAGGTTTTTTCCTTGTTCCAAATAAATTTTAGCAGTGATTTCTCTAGGTCTGTGAGGTATGTTGGTCTTAATAATCCAGAAGAAAAGTATAAACACGAGGTATAAAAAGTAATGCCAGTCTCTTTTTAGAGACTGAGTGCCCAAACTGTAAACCAGGGAGATAGCTCAGTAGAATAAGCGCTTGTCTGGCAAGCACAGGGTCTTGAGTTCAATCCCCAGTACCACAAAAAAAGAAAAAAGAAAAGAAAAAGTAATGCCATATTAATATGCTGAGCTGTAAAAGACCTAAGTCAACTTCTGACAATTGCCAGTTCTGCTGATAACCCAGTACTGTTATGGACTATTGGACTATATTGGGTTATTTTGCTGAGTTCAAGTACCTACACTATTTGAACCAGCATCAAGTATGAAAAGGTCCTTTAAAGACTTCTCCAAATACAGCTTTTCTAACAGCAATGAAAAATCCATCTCTGACAAAACGAAACAAAAAGGGGGATATAAATAAACAACCATTTTGTAGTGAAGAAAATATATGTATATACGAAATAGGATAGATATACAGCTACTTTCTCTTAGTTCAATGAGAAAAAAGGTTTACTAATATTGTTTAGACAAGATATCATGTCTGCATCTTGTCCTCTGAATAACTACTATGAAGATAACAATAATATGCAATGTATGAATTATTGTGACTATCTTACTAACCTGTTTTTAAACTGTTTCATTGCTATTTTCTCATTAAAATGAATAAAAATTTTTATTTATTTATTTATTTATTTATTTATTTATTTTTGTGGGAATTGTAATTAGCACAGTGACAAATTATGTTTAGACACAGGAAAAATTTTTAAAAATAATAAAAAAATAAAACTTTTGGAATGGTCATCCACCCTGAACCTCTGATGCCTGATTTGGCAGGCTAAGAATCTCTGCATAAGCCCAGAACTAGCTTTATCTCAAGGGATTGGGAGCTCCTGAGGCCCACTGTGTGCCTGCTCAGGGTCCCATAACAAAGTTCCCATGTGGGTTTCCTAAGACCACTTACTGTACCTTTCATTAAAAGGATAATTATGTCTCTAGGATGTAGGTGATTTACAAGTTAAAAGAAGTGATAAATGATGTGCAATCACTATACTAATTTTTAAAACAACAACAGAGGCAGTGTAGGCTAGAAAATACCTTAAGGCAATGATGACAAACTTTTTAGAGACTCAGTGCCCAAACTGTAAACCAAAACCCACTTATTTATTGAAAAATCTCAACACTGCAATTAAGCCTGAATATTGAGGTTTCACTTTAGCAAAACAAACTAACTTCACGCACTTAGCTTGTGCGGTGACAGAGAGGGCTTTGTGTGCTTACTGCAGATATGACCATAGGTTTGCCTCCACTGCCCTAAGGGCTCTTTTTCTGTTCTTGCTATGGTTGTTGATTTATTATAAAATTTAGAGTAATTAATGTGTTTTCTGCTATAACCTGACATTACCAAGGACAGAAATGTTAAACTATGCTAAAGTTCTATTTACAACAGCTGATTTTTCAGCCCCTTCACTATACTTCTGTTATTCTGGAAGTCCAGCTCAATATTTGACATAAATATTCACTGAAATGGTAACTTAAAATTTCTGCTAGTTGTGGGTCCTGCCCCAGTGTGTCCTGAACCAGCCACTGAGACCAGGTGTGGTGGTGCATGCCTGTAATCCCAGATCTGAGAAGGCTTAAAACAGGAGGATCACTACAAGTCCAAGTTGCACAGAGAGACCCTGTACCAAATACACAGGAAAAAAAAATTTCTTCCAGAGTGATGAGGAGGAAGTTCGCTGTAGCAGCTCGAGCAAGAAGTGATACTGCTTTAGACTGGATTAAGGTAGCAATGATAAAGAAGAAAGCTTAGAAAATATTTAAAAGATAAAATTTACTGAACCAAGTTGTTGGTAGATTTTTCAGAAAAGGGCAAGGGCGGTGTCTGGGATGAGTCTGGGCTCCAGCTTGTAGAATCTCTGTACGCCAGTGCTGTTCAATAATGCAGGGTACTGGGAGGGAGAAGAAGTTTGAAGCAGGTTTTAGGAAGAGGAAATATAGGTTTAGTTTTAGCTATTTTCAGTTCAAAGTATATATAGTATGCCTAAGTAGATACATTTAAAAGGAAAATGGATATCCAGGACTGAAGCTTAAGAGACAGATATGAATTCCAAATATGTCTAATAGTAGACATAAATAAGTTCAAATTAAAATCTACATTAAACATGCTTACTATTCTATACTTTTATGTTAAAGCTTATTATAATCCACTTTCATTAATTAGTTCACATTCTCAACTATATCACTTATACTTAAACTATAATATATGCCTACATATAATAACTATATATATAATTATCTATCATTCTGAGTGGCAAAACAGATCTACATTCCTATCCCACTGGAACAATCCCAGAGGTATAAAGAACTGAGATGAAAAGATGAATCCAGCTCAGACTACATCGCTCTTATTCACAGGATGGGAAGGAGCAGTGTAGATGGGGCAGTTCTGTAACTAGCAGAACTGTGCTCTAACCATGGCACAGTGGGAAATTATTTGTCCCCCAACCGTGGTGAACTGATCCTACTTAAAGACATGGAGCTGAACAGAGGTAAGACAAGAAATGCACACAGCATTGCCTAAACTAGTATAGTTCAAGTGGTGTTTTGCTAAGGTTCACTGTGTAATGTTGCAATCTGGCTCCTAAACTAAAATCCCAGTGGATTTTACTTACAGACTAAATTTGGGGAATGTAAGATTTTGAAGCTGAAAGAAACCTTGCAAACCCTGTAACATTTCCATGTTCACTATGTAACTTTTCTCTGTCAGATCCTGGCGAAGCTCTGTGACATTTTACACACCGATTCTCTGGCAGAAGTTCTACAGTGGCTGCTTCATGCAAATACAAAAGGTGAGATTAAGATAAATACCTCTAAGTACTGAATTCAAGTTACCGTCAGAAATTGAGAATCTGCCAAAGTCCTTGGGTTTGGAAAGATAAGGCTGCACTATTATTTTCCCACTGTTTATGTGTCAGAATCATGTAGTGCTGTATATTCAACCACATGCATACTAGTCATTCAATGAATCCAAAATGCAGCATGCCTTAGGACTCTCATGCTGCAATGTTGTATTTGATTAGATTTATAGATTTCTGTGTAAAAATTTGTAATTTTTGTTTCTATTTTCTTTAATATGTTTTTATTTTTTCACATTCCATACAAATTTAAAGTTTAGCATATCAATGATTGATGGAAATACCTGGTCCATCTTGTCTAAGGTTTTTGATATTCAGATGATACTGATGTAAAGCTCAACAGCCTATGTTCTAGGGTAATAATATCATTAAGATTCTCTTCTGGAGGGTTAACAACTTAAGTTTGCAGAATAAAAAATTAAAGAAAAAGAAGAACTACAAGGATTGCTAATATTTTGGCCCTAGCCCTTCAAGGTCAGTGAGGACTCAGGACATCAGTGAACCTGTACTGTAACATCCTCTAACTCAGGGGTGTTCCAAATTTTCTGTTCAAGATTATCAGATTAAGGAGGAAAGTGATCAAAAATGTAGAGTATGCCTAGGGAGAGTCACCTAGAGAGAAAAACATTTTCTTAGGCTTTCACAGAAAGCAAATTGGTCAAGCAATGGCCATGACTCATCCAGATGGCTGACACTGTCAAAAGATCTACAAACTACTATACATGGTTTCAACATAAATCATGAGGGGATTTGACTGACCTTGTCAGATACAAAAGTTCCACTTTTAGTTATTTGGATCTTGCTTTATCTTTGTCTTAACCATCCAGCAGAAATGTACAACTATGTGGCATAAAAAGTAATGCCATATTAATATGCTGACCTGTGAAAGGCTCAAGTCAACAACTTCTAACACTGCCAGTTATGCTGATAACCCACTACTATTATGGATTATTGGACTATATTGGGTTATTTTGCTGAATTAAAACACCTACAATATTTGAATGGCAATGGAACACTCATCTCTGACAAAAGTAAACAAAAAAGTGGATATAAATGAAGGACCATTTTGTATATATATATACAAACTAGTTAGGATAGATGTACAGCTACTTTCTCTTAGTCAATAAAAAGAAAGATTTGTACTAATAGTGTTTAGACAAGCTATCATGTCTGCATCTTGTACTATAAATAATTACTGTGAAGACAACAATATGCAAGGTATTAATTATTGTAACTGCCCTAATAGCCTGTTTTGAAACTGTCTCATTGCTATTTCCTTCTCATGAAATTTAATCAAAAAATGAAATTAAGGAAGGAAATTGTATAGATTATAGTAGAAATCTATAAAATCAAGATTTAAAAAAAAACAATACAAAGATTCAACCAACTAAAAAGCTGGTTCTTCAAAAGAATGAACAAAATATACAAACAGCCAAATTTACCAAGAGAAAGATAGAAAAGACATGGCTGTACTTTGAAATGGCGGGAATGATAGCACAACAAACACTATCGAATACAGAAGATAGTAGCAACTATAAAATGTAATATTCCAACAAATTGGAAATTTGAAGAAATGGACAGATTCCTAGGCATATACAAATTACCCAACCTGAGCAGGAGGACACAAAAATGCTGAATAACAACTCCCTAACAATGAATGAAATTGAGACAGCAATAAAGAATCTATCAGCTGAGAAAAGCCCAGGATCTGATGAGTACACTGCTGAATTCTGCAAAATTTTTAACTGTTGTCTCACCAATACTTCTCAATCTCTTGAAAGAAGTCAAAAGGGACAGAATGCTCCCAATTTTATATAGGGAAGCCAGTACAACACTCATTGTAAGACCAGATAAGGACTAAACTGAAAAAGAAAACTATAGACCAAAACCCTTAATGAATATAGATTCAAAAATCCTCAAAATGATTATAGTGAATAAAATGTAGCAAATCATCAAAAAAATACGTCATGACCAAAGTTTTATTCCAGAGAATCAAGGGTAGTTCAATTTATGCAAATCAATAAGTGCAACACACATACTTATGTGGCAGGGGAGATACCATGATCGTGAAGGTGGGTTTCCCGGGGGGAGGCTTAGCCATTGCACTCTGGATGTGCTGACCCCTGCAATTTCCCCAAATGTAGGAAACTCGACTGCATAATTTGTGGCACTGGGGGACTGTGTTTTAGCTTTCCCCTGATTTCAAGTTTAAAAGAAATTTCTTGTATCTTTCATCCTTGCATGGTGTCAAGGTCCTGAGTTCAATCCCTGGTTCTACAAAAAAAAAAAAAAAAGAAGTGTAATACATTACATAAGCAGGTCAAAGTCAAAAAACATACAATATCAATAGGTGCACAAAAGACTTTCAACAGTGTACAATATTCCTTCAAGGTAAGACTCTAAAGAAAATTTGTATAAAAGACCATACCTGAATTTCATAAAAGCTATTTACTACAAACCAACAGCTAGCAGCATATTAAATGGGGAACAATGAAAATCATTCCCTCTAAAATAAGGAACAAGATAAGGATGCCCATTGTCACCACTTCTATTTGATATAGTACTCAAAATATTAGATAGACTGGTTAGACAGAAAAAAATATATATATGAAGAATTCCAATTATTATTGCTTGTAAATGAGGTGATACTCTACATAGATGTCCAAAGAATTCCACCAAAAATACTATTAGTTTTAATAACCAGCATCATTAATTTAGCAGAGTACAAAATTAAAAAACAAAATCTAATAGTATTTGTGTAGAAAAATTATGAACCCAAAAAACTATGGAGACTCTGGATGGCCTGTGGGACTCTGATAACCTCTGACCTTATCCCCTAGCATTCAGGCATGAAGCTTGTGCTAGTGCCTTTCTAACATTCTAAGAACATGTGAGGACTCTGAGAAGCCCACAGGACTCTGAACAACTGAGATTAGTGGACCCAGCATGCACAGGCATGAAACTTTCCTGGAGTCATTTAAGAAATGTGGAGGACTCTGGGTGGCCTGTAGCATTGTGGTAAGATCTAACCTTAATCCCTAGATTGCAGGTATGGAGCTTATGCAGGTACCATTCAAGCCTTTTAAGAAAGTAGAAAGACCCTGAACATCCTACGGGACTCTGGAGAACAGTGATCTGTGGGTCCAGTGCATACAGGTGCCAAGATTTCCTGGCACACAGTCCATCCATTTAAGAACTTATGAGCATTCTGGGTGGCCTGCAGAACTCTGACAAGCTGCTTCAATTAGCTCCCCAGCTGTCAGGTGTGGAGCTTGTGCTACTACTGGTCCAACATTTTAAGAACATAGGAGAATTCTGGGTAGCCTATGGGAAACTAATGAATCTGGCCTACACCCACCACCTACACTGAAGCTTTGTTGAGTATCAGCAAATCAGCCCTACTAGTAGTCAGAGCCTTGGTGAGTCCTACCCTTCTCCTCACTATAGTGGAATCCTTATTGACACACACCTCACCTCGCTCCCAACACTGCTATGTCCGGTTGATTATTGGGAACTTCAAACAAGCCAAAATGCAGAAGCAAAAGACAATCTAAGTCCTCTAGGAACCCAGAACAAATCCAGAAGACAAGGACATACTAGAACTTGAAAAACACACACCTGAAATTTCTGAAATGATAGCAACTGAGGTAAAGATACAAGTCCCTCAGTCTATAAAAAAATAAGATCAGAAATAATCTTTCAGGCCAAAAACTAAATGATGGCAGTCATTACAGAATTGCTCAGCACATATGAAGAAGTTATAGATTTTTTTTAAAAATATAGAATAAAATAATGATGGAAATACTGAATGACCAATACAGAAAAGAATTAGATTGAAACAGATGTCCAGGAAATTAAGAACTCCATTGAAAGCTGGTAGAACAGCATTAATGAAACTGAAGATAGACTTTCAGACCTTGAAGACAATGGTGCATCTAGTGAATGTGAAAGGAAAGATCTCTTAAAACCAACAATGAACCAAGAACTAACAGTTTTACAGCTTCAAGATGATGCAAATAAAAATAATATAACAATGGTAAGTGTCAATGAAGCAGCAAGAGACAACAAAAATGACATAAAAAGACTACTTGCACAAATACTAGCAGAAAAATTTCCAAACTTGAGAAAAGAACATGATCAAACAATAAGCAAGGCATACAGAACTCCAAACAGCCATAATCAAAATAAAGCTACACCTAGACACATAATTATTAACATCTCAGAAACTGAGCAAAAGAAGAGACTATTAAAAGCTGCTGCAGAGAAGAAACAAGATGACCTGTAATGGAAAGCACACCAGAATCATGGCAGACTTCTCAACACAAACCATCAAATAAAGAAGAGCTTGAAGTGAAATATTTCAGATCCTGAGAGAAAATAACTTCCAACACAATTTGATGTATCCTGCAAAAGTATCAAATTCAATGGCAAGATATAAACTTTCCATTAAAAAGAACCATTGAAAAATTATGACCACCAAATCAACTTTACAAAGAGTATGGGAAGACACTTTACAAAGAGACAGAAACAGCCAGAGCTTCCAAAACAACAGAAAGAAACTACAAAACAGAGCAAGTAACTAAAAAGAGGAAAAAAGCACAGAACCTAGAGCAGGAAAATAGCATGACAAAGATAAGCCAATACATATCAGTTATAACCATCAGTATAAATGACCTCAACTCACAAATTAAAAGAAAGAGACTGGCAGGGTGAATTTCTTTTTTCAGAACAAGTCAGTTTATTTTAGCACACCAAATATTGGCATTCACAGTTTCTTCAGTTTCATTGCCCTCAAGTCCCACAAAGGTGTGCAACATGTTCAGATGGGTGCTACACATGTAGGAATTGCACTGCAACTCAAGAAGCAGAGGTTAAGAGCTTGGAACTTCTCAGGAAATGAGCCATTGTTTTTACCCTGGAACGTGAACAGCTGAACAGTAGTTGCACACATCTACTGGCCCTACTT